ATTGTATTACAGTATTTTATAATAATATGAGAATAGAATTTTAACGCAGAACTATTGTACGAATGGGAAAGTAGAAATCAATATATTTTATGAGGAGGAGATATTTTTTAGGAATTTGGCGGGAAGTTAAAAATTCAGGATTTTGTTTTTATATATAGTATAGATTCTATTACAGTATTTTATAATAATATGAGAATATAATTTTAACGCAGAATTATTGTACGAATGGGAATGTAGAAATCATTATATTTTATTAGGATGAGAGATTTTTTAGGAATTGGGCGGAAAGTTAAAATTTCAGGATTTTGTTTTTATGTATAGTATAGATTGTATTACAGTATTTTATAATAATATGAGAATAGAATTTTAGCGCAGAATTATTGTACGAATGGGAAAGAAGAAACCAATATATTTTATTACGAGGAGAGATTTTTTTGAAATTGGGCAGGAAGTTAAAAATTCAGGATTTTGTTTTTATATATAGTATAGATTGTATTACAGTATTTTATAATAATATGAGAATATAATTTTAACGCAGAATTATTATTGTACGAATGGGAAAGTAGAAATCAATATATTTTATTAGGATGAGAGATTTTTTAGGAATTGAGCGGAAAGTTAAAATTTCAGGATTTTGTTTTTATATATAGTATAGATTGTATTACAGTATTTTATAATAATATGAGAATAGAATTTTAACGCAGAACTATTGTACGAATGGGAAAGTAGAAATCAATATATTTTATTAGGAGGAGAGATTTTTTAGGAATTGGGCGGAAAGTTAAAATTTTAGGATTTTGTTTTTATATATATAGTATAGATTGTATTACAGTATTTTATAATAATATTAGAATAGAATTTTAACGCAGAACTATTGTACGACTGGGAAAGTAGAAATCAATATATTTTATTAGGAGGAGAGATTTTTTAGGAATTGGGCGGGAAGTTAAAAATTCAGGATTTCGTTTTTATATATAGTATAGATTGTATTACAGTATTTTATAATAATATGAGAATAGAATTTTAACGCAGAATTATTGTACGAATGGGAAAGTAGAAATCAATATATTTTATTAGGATGAGAGATTTTTTAGGAATTGAGCGGGAAGTTAAAATTTCAGGATTTTGTTTTTATATATAGTATAGATTGTATTACAATATTTTATAATAATATGAGAATAGAATTTTAACGCAGAACTATTGTACGACTGGGAAAGTAGAAATCAATATATTTTATTAGGAGGAGAGATTTTTTAGGAATTGGGCGGGAAGTTAAAATTTCAGGATTTTGTTTTTATATAGAATATAGATTGTATTACAGTATTTTATAATAATATGAGAATAGAATTTTAACGCAGAATTATTGTACGAATGGGAAAGTAGAAATCAATATATTTTATTAGGAGGAGAGATTTTTTAGGAATTGGTCGGGAAGTTAAAAATTCAGGATTTTGTTTTTATATATAGTATAGATTGTATTACAATATTTTATAATAATATGAGAATAGAATTTTAACGCAGAACTATTGTACGAATGGGAAAGTAGAAATCAATATATTTTATTAGGATGAGAGATTTTTTAGGAATTGAGCGGGAAGTTAAAATTTCAGGATTTTGTTTTTATATATAGTATAGATTGTATTACAGTATTTTATAATAATATGAGAATAGAATTTTAACGCAGAACTATTGTACGAATGGGAAAGTAGAAATCAATATATTTTATTAGGAGGAGAGATTTTTTAGGAATTGGGCGGAAAGTTAAAATTTTAGGATTTTGTTTTTATATATATAGTATAGATTGTATTACAGTAATTTATAATAATATGAGAATAGAATTTTAACGCAGAATTATTGTACGAATGAGAAAGTAGAAATCAATATATTTTATTAGGAGGAGAGATTTTTTAAAAATTAGGCGGGAAGTTAAAATTTCAGGATTCTGTTTTTATATAGAGTATAGATTGTATTACAGTATTTTATAATAATATCAGAATAGAATTTTAACGCAGAACTATTGTACGAATGGGATAGTAGAAATCAATATATTTTATGAGGAGGAGATATTTTTTAGGAATTTGGCGGGAAGTTAAAAATTCAGGATTTTGTTTTTATATATAGTATAGATTCTATTACAGTATTTTATTATAATATGAGAATATAATTTTAACGCAGAATTATTGTACGAATGGGAATGTAGAAATCATTATATTTTATTAGGATGAGAGATTTTTTAGGAATCGGGCGGAAAGTTAAAATTTCAGGATTTTGTTTTTATATATAGTATAGATTGTATTACAGTATTTTATAATAATATGAGAATAGAATTTTAACGCAAAATTATTGTACGAATGGGAAAGAAGAAACCAATATATTTTATTACGAGGAGAGATTTTTTTGAAATTGGGCAGGAAGTTAAAAATTCAGGATTTTGTTTTTATATATAGTATAGATTGTATTACAGTATTTTATAATAATATGAGAATATAATTTTAACGCAGAATTATTATTGTACGAATGGGAATGTAGAAATCAATATATTTTATTAGGATGAGTGATTTTTTAGGAATTGGGCGGAAAGTTAAAATTTTAGGATTTTGTTTTTATATATAGTATAGATTGTATTACAGTAATTTATAATAATATGAGAATAGAATTTTAACGCAGAATTATTGTACGAATGAGAAAGTAGAAATCAATATATTTTATTAGGAGGAGAGATTTTTTAAAAATTGGGCGGGAAGTTAAAATTTCAGGATTCTGTTTTTATATAGAGTATAGATTGTATTACAGTATTTTATAATAATATCAGAATAGAATTTTAACGCAGAACTATTGTACGAATGGGAAAGTAGAAATCAATATATTTTATGAGGAGGAGATATTTTTTAGGAATTTGGCGGGAAGTTAAAAATTCAGGATTTTGTTTTTATATATAGTATAGATTCTATTACAGTATTTTATAATAATATGAGAATATAATTTTAACGCAGAATTATTGTACGAATGGGAATGTAGAAATCATTATATTTTATTAGGATGAGAGATTTTTTAGGAATTGGGCGGAAAGTTAAAATTTCAGGATTTTGTTTTTATGTATAGTATAGATTGTATTATAGTATTTTATAATAATATGAGAATAGAATTTTAACGCAGAATTATTGTACGAATGGGAAAGAAGAAACCAATATATTTTATTACGATGAGAGATTTTTTTGAAATTGGGCAGGAAGTTAAAAATTCAGGATTTTGTTTTTATATATAGTATAGATTGTATTACAGTATTTTATAATAATATGAGAATATAATTTTAACGCAGAATTATTATTGTACGAATGGGAATGTAGAAATCAATATATTTTATTAGGATGAGAGATTTTTTATGAATTGGGTGGGAAGTTAAAATTTCAGAATTTTGTTTTTATATATAGTATAGATTGTATTACAGTATTTTATAATAATATGAGAATAGAATTTTAACGCAGAACTATTGTACGACTGGGAAAGTAGAATTCAATATATTTTATTAGGAGGAGAGATTTTTTAGGAATTGGGCGGGAAGTTAAAATTTCAGGATTTTGTTTTTATATAGAATATAGATTGTATTACAGTATTTTATAATAATATGAGAATAGAATTTTAACGCAGAATTATTGTACGAATGAGAAAGTAGAAATCAATATATTTTATTAGGAGTAGAGATTTTTTAGGAATTGGTCGGGAAGTTAAAAATTCAGAATTTTGTTTTTATATATAGTATGGATTGTATTACAGTATTTTATAATAATATCAGAATAGAATTTTAACGCAGAATTACTGTACGAATGGGAAAGTAGAAATCAACATATTTTATTAGGAGGAGAGATATTTTAGGAATTGGGCGGGAAGTTAAAATTTCAGGATTTTGTTTTTATATATAGTATAGCTTGTATTACAGTATTTTATAATAATATGAGAATAGAATTTTAACGCAGAATTATTGTACGAATGAGAAAGTAGAAATCAATATATTTTATTAGGAGGAGAGATTTTTTAGGAATTGGGCGGGAAGTTAAAATTTCAGGATTTTGTTTTCATATATAGTATAGATTGTATTACAGTATTTTATAATAATATCATAATAGAATTTTAACGCAGAATTATTGTACGAATGGGAAAGTAGAAATCAATATATTTTATTAGGAGGAGAGATTTTTTAGGAATTGGGCGGGAAGTTAAAATTTCAGGATTTTGTTTTTATATATAGTATAGATTATAATTATATATTACAAATTAAAATAATTAATAGATTTACTTAACAATTAAATACCTAGAGTTTTTTTTTTTTTTTGAAATATTAATGATTTTCAGCCCAAAGAATCTAAGTCACATCACCATGATCGAACTTATGATCACTCATTTAGAATGGTAAATGAGATTCAATCACAATACATGGGATGAGATAAGGATCACAGTTTTCAATTCCAACACAATAGAGATTACACAACTATCATCTAAATACAATAGCGTGAACTAATCCTATGAATTAGGAAAGCCATAAATAGCTAATCTAATACAAAGGCTAGTCAAACAAATAACATAAATAATAACACAAATAATAACATTGCTAACACACCCCCTCAAGCTCAAGAGTGGTGCGCAACAATGTTGAGCTTGTCACGTATAGCTGCAAACCGAGGCCCCGGCAATGGTTTGGTGAATATATCCGCGAGCTGGTCCTTCGTTGACACAAAATTGACGACCAAGTCACCCGAAGCTACCTTATCTCAAACAAAGTGGAAATCAATTTCCACATGTTTAGTCCTGGCATGAAAAACCGGATTGGCACAAAGATAGGTAGCACCTAGGTTATCGCACCAGAGTGTGGACGACTCTCCCGTGTGTAGTCCGAGCTCACGAAGAAGAGAAACAACCCAGGTGACTTCAGCAGAAACATCGGCGAGGGCCTTATACTCAGTTTCAGTTGAGGACCGCGCAACCGTTCGCTGCTTCCAAGATAGCTAAGAGATAAGATTGTCGCTGAGAAACACTGCATACCCGCTGGTGCTTTTCCTGTCGATCGGGCACCCAGCCCAGTCTGAGTCAGAAAACCCATGAATAGTGGATGAAGCTGAAGCAGTGAGTCGCAAGCCATAAGTGATGGTGCCTTTGATGTATCGGGGAACACGCTTCAACAAACCCCAATGATCGTTGGACGGCAAATGCATAAACTGACACAGTCGATTAACAGAAAAGGATAAGTCAGGACGCGTAACAGTCAGGTACTGAAGTGCCCCAACCAAACGTCGATACTGTGTCGGATTGTCGTACGGTTGGTCAGACGGCGTCACTGGCTGAGTAATAGCAGCGGGAGTAGCCAGTGGTTTGCAATCGGACATCCCAGCACGATTGAGAATGTCTTTCATATAACGTTGCTGAGATAGTAAAAACCCCGTTTTATCTTTCAATGTCTTGATCCCGAGGAAAAAACTGGGCGTTCCAAGATCTCGAATTTTGAAGGTAGTCGACAGGCGTTGCAATAATTCGGAGATAAGCACGGGATCGTTCCCCATCATGATTATGTCATCGACATACACACGTGATGAACCAGTAGAGTAATGAAACAGAGACACGTCTGTTTTTTAGGATAAAAAACCTGCAGAAATCAGAAAGTCATGTAAACGCTAAAACCAAGTCCGGGGGGGGGGGGGGGGGCTTGTTTAAGACCATATAGTGACCGTTGAAGATGACACACATGATCTGGGTGTGTCGGGTTTTCATACCCCGGTGGCTGCTTCATGTACACCGTCTCAGGTAAATGCCCATTTAAAAAGGCATTGTGCACATCTAGCTGACGCATAGTCCAGTCGTGTGATACTGCAAGAGAGAACAGTAGGTGAACAGTGGTCGGCTTGACCACAGGACTGAAAGTGTCAAAGAAGTCTTCACCAGCTACTTGGTTAAACCCCTTCGCCACAAGTCGTGCCTTGTATCGCTCAATCGAGCCATTAGCATTCCGCTTGGTGCGGAACACCCACTTGCACCCTACTACATTCATATGTGGTTCAGCAGGTACAAGTTTCCAAGTGTCATTATGAATAAGAGCATTGAAATCTTGATCCAT